CCTTCCACATCCTGTTCCACTTTCAACATGTCTCCAAGTGTCAGCTCCATTTTCACCTCCACCCCTCAGGAGCAAAAAGATAAAATTCAGACTCCTTCTGGAATCCCAGTGCCTGCCAGGGTGCAGGGGAAGACTCCCAAGTTCAGAGGTGAGAAAACAGAATTAGATAAGGTGAAAAAATCCCATCCTTCATATTTCAATAAAATGGTTGCCATTAGCGAAGCCAAAGAGACGAGCAGAGCGCAGGACCCAGGCAGAAAAGGAGTCCCCCAGTCCAAGTATTAAACCAAAGGGTATTAAACCAGTTGATAACTTTGAGATATGTTTCCGTTTCATTTTTTTACTGGATATCTGTATGCTTTTACCCTCATCCCCAAGCCTGTCTTGGTGTCAGGGCATGTCCCAACCCCAAAGATGCAGCACTTTGCACTTGGCCTTGTTGCATGTGATGAGGTCCCAGGGCCCCAGTTCCCGAGCTTCCAGAATCCTTCTGGATGGCATCCCATGCCTCTGGTGTTGGCAAGCTTGCCGAGGGTGCGCTTAATGCCTCTGTCCATGTCATTCTTGACATAGCTCAGTGCTTGAGCTTACAAACTGGGGAAATCATATAAAAGTACCATGCATACAAGGAATGTATATAAAAACCTCCTCTCCAGTATCAGTCCTGTACCAGCTTTTAAGGACCGTTTCTTTCTAATGCTTTACCATCTGGATTCTTAGAGATCTGTACATGCCAGACAAATAGAGGTTCAACAGTCTTGGTACATCCTTTTGAATCAACTTCCTTGCCTTCTCCAAACCTCCAATTTGAACTATTTGTTTCTGGTTTTCCATCCCTTTAGGAGAAAAAGCAGAGGTCAGAGGAGCCCAGCAAAACACTTCAGGTCCTGTGCCTGAGAAGAGGAGGATGATGCCTGTGAGACTTGCAGACATTGACTGGAGTGGTTGCGCTGCTGTTTACGGCCGACCCTACAGGGACAGGGTGATCCATTTACTTGCTCTGAGGACTTATAAGGAGCCAGAGTTACTTGCTCGCCTGCAGAGGGATGGAGTCAGGCAAAAGGACAAGGATTCCCTTGGAAAGATCCTTCAGCAGGTGAGATCATGGAGCTTGTGCCAGCAGTTCTTCCATCATGCTGCTCTGCTGTTCATCATTTTCCTAACCTCTTCACTCATTTAAATTAGAGACTTTTCCAATACTCCTTTGAGTTAAGTTCCACTGGTACTTATTTTATCACAGCCATTCGTAAGATGCACACCCATTGAAAGATGCAATAGCTCCTTCCTTCCTTTTTAAATATTCCCCATCCACATAGCTGGTTGCTTAATTATGCAAGCATTAATATATCAAGAAGGAACAGTTCCTCTTTAGCTATGAAAAAAGGGTTTTGGAACCTCGTCAAGGGAGTCGGATTCAACATGGATACAGTTTCAGCTGATCCCACACTGACTTTGAAGAACTCCTTCCACGAACCTGTGAATTTTGTTGCTGTGTTTTCCCAGAGCAGTGGCAGGGTTTTATCACCCTGAAGACACAAATTCACAATTTCATGAGAGCCATGTTCTGCCATCCCATCTGAAGTAGTCCATTTAGATTTCAAGTTGATTACAAAATTTAGAAGATCAGCTCCTTAGAAGGGCAAGGGTGAAAACATATTCTCGTTTCCATTGCAATGTTTAATGATTTCCTTGCAGGCAATTTCCTGTAGGAGGTGTGAACTGCCTCAAGGTACTGTGTGAGCAGCACTACACCCTGAAATGCCTAGCTCAGGCTTTTCTGGACATCAGAGCAAGTGGGGGTTTATTCTGTGTAAATGTAAAATGAGCAGCCGGAGCTTGCTGAGATCTGATACCCACACACTTGCTTTGCTTCCAACACAACCTTAGTTCTGCTTCTAAAAAGTGAATTCTCAATTCTGGGTATCTTTGTTACTTTTACTTTTTTTTTTTTAAGCTGTGGAAAAACAGCCATCAACAGAGACCCAAATTATCAACGTTTATCACGTTTTCAAGGAGAAAAGTCTAAGTTGTGACAGATGGTGGTGCTGTGTGGATGAGCTATTCAGGTCAAATTGGTAGAGACTTTCCCCATGGGCTTTTCTATGCAACTCTGAACCAGTGTCAGGTGATGAAATCTAAGCCAGCACTTTTGGTATCAGTGGTCTAGAGGTTTTACTACCTCATTTTACCTTTTTGAGTAGACTTTGCTTTGAGGAAGATATGAACCTCATTTATTTTCAAAGGAATACAGCGAGGCATGTGCACGGCCTCCTCATGGCAGGATTTTGCTGGAACAAATCCTGGCTCTGACTCATGAAGAGGGACTGTGGACCTGACCACCTCTCCTTACACACTGTAGCACTAAGTGTTGATTTCAAAGGAACACTTGGTTGATATGAATACAGTTACTTGGTTGTTTCTGTTTGGTGCAATTTTAATATGGCTTAACACTCTCATGATAGAGGGATAATTGATCTCTGTACCAAAGGACGTTGTTTAGTTCAAGTTGGGTGCTGACAAACAGCTGTTCAGGACCAATTGTATTTCTGTAGTCTGCATATAGCAACCATAATGAGCCTGTGTTTTTTAAAATGTCTGCCTGTAGGTAGCCAACCTGAATCCAAAGGATAATTCCTTCAGTCTGAAGGAACATCTATTTCAAACCCTTCAGATCGATTGGCCTGGCTACAGTAAAATCGATAGAAAGAATTTGAAGTTAATTCTTTCTAGGTAAGTTCAGTCTTTAGGGGAAGGAGAAGAGCCTTTTCAGAAAAAGCCCAGGGCAATTAAGCCTAGATTCTTAGAATATGCTGAGGTAGCAGGGGCCCATTAGGGACATGGAATCCAAATCCTGGCCCTGCACAGGACACCACAAGAATCACACCATATGCCCAAAGAGTGTTGTCCAAAAGTTTCTTGAGTTCTTGGTGCAGTGACCACTGGCCTGGGGAGCCTGTTCCAGTGCTCAAGCACCCTCTGGGGCAAGAACATTTTCCTGATATCCAGCCTAAAGCTCCCTCAACTCATCCTCATGCTGTTTCCTTGAGTTCTGACACTGAACATCTGTTTTATCTGTAAGGAAAGTGTGGGAATTCCAAGCACAGAAAGTTCTCAAAATCTTGGAAATGCAAGCTCAGACATAGACATTAGCACAGGGTTTGATTTAAGACCTTGGAGAATGCTTCCAGATTCAAAACCATAAGTAAGAATGTGGGCTTGTAGTTTAGACAGAAAAGACATTAAGCTAGGTAGTAGAAAGTTTTATGGTTTTAAAGTTAAGATACAGGAGTAGTTCTAAAGGTAATAAGTTTAAGACATAACAAGTAGTTTTGTGTGTCATTACATGATTGGTTAAGAAAGTCCACACTGCAGCAAAGACTTACAAAACAAAATAATGAATTATTGGTGTAGAAGTAGAAACATTCTTTTGTGGCAGAAGTTTATTGGCTAATTAACCTTTAAAAAACCTTGTAACTTGTGGTCTTGTGACTGTTGACCAAGAACATCAGGTGAATATGATGAAGACACTCTCACAGCTTCATGAGACTGTAGAAGAATAATAAATCATGTTTTAAGACATCTCCCTGTGGTCGCATCCCTCTCAAAATCCCGACAGAAAGAACTATGACAATTGATATTTAGTCCTTGCAACCTGAAATGTTGGACTCCCCATACAGAAAAACAGCTCCATCCCAGAATGCCGCCAGCACCATCCACACAACATCTCCTGGACCTTCTGAGACAGGCGCTCCAACAAGACGTGCTCAGGTATTTAGTGCATTTTTAACATTCTGTACTGTGTGTTATATTTTAGCACACTTGCTGGTGGTGTAAAACCTGTGATGTGAATGTGCAGGAGCAAGCCTGAGCATGTTTTGCCTCAGACATTCCAACAGCTGTGACTGGAAGGTTGTGATCAGGAGGAGAGGCTCCTGCAGGGATGGAGCAGCACTGTCTTTGTCATCGAAGCTGTGGGAAAAAACAAACCCCTCAACAACATTTTTAGCATTAGAGAATCAAGTCATTACTTTATTCTGGCCAGGATGTGCAAGAGAAATAATTTCATCCTCATATAGCCTGGGTGTGCAGAGAAAATAATTCCATGGCACATGACCCTTTACTAGAATTTTCAGATATTTATTCAGTCAAAATCCACTGAAATTCAGGGTTCAGTGTTCATTGGTTCCAAGTTAGGGAGTTCTTAGTGTTTGTTTTCTTATTGGTTATGGGTTTCTTAGCTAGTTTGGTCCTCACTCTTATTTCTTATCAGTCTTTTCCAGACTGGGTGTCTCCGATCATATCAGTGCTGATGTTTAGAGTTGATGGTTGTTAATGGTCATTGATGGTCATTATCTTTTGTGTATCTTAGGTGCTAGTCCCAGTCGGTTGAGATGTTCATGTCATCACACCTTGAACGATGAAATAATCCTTTGAAAAGAACCTTAAGATCCCATTACCCTGGAGCAAAGGCTAACAAGACTGACTAAAGATACAAAAACTTTTAAATTTTGTATCATCTTCCAACATCCTGAGCCAACTTTCTGCTCTGCAGATGGAGTCGAGCTCAGTCCCCACCCTCAACTCACTCCCTGGAGAAGGGCTCATAGGGCTGGCTCTGCATGCGTGTCAAAACTGTCAAAAAACTACCACACAGAAGAGGCTGTGCCTGGGTGGGGCAGATGGGGCCTTCTCACTCTCTTTTCCCTCTCTCTTTCTTTCATCTCATTGTTTACTCCAACACTGCCCTCTACACACGGCAGGAACAAAGCAGGATGTACAGATATGTAATACTCTCTGTTCTGTCTCTCTCTTCTCTGCCTTAATTTCTCTCCCCCTGCATTCTGCCTGGGAAAAGCACAGCTGTCCTGTTCCACTCCATCCTTGGCCCTGAGGTTTGCAGTGGGAGTGGGGAGCTTGTGGCCGTGTGCTGTGTCTT